TATGTTTTCCCTTGGAGCTATTTGCTCCACTTTTTATTAATGAGATGGCGGACTGATTGTCACAAAACATATTGACCGTACTGGCAAGTATACCTAATTGTAAACTGTCAACAAATCGTTTTATCCAGATTGCATTACTCACGGCTGTGCTGCAAGTTATGTATTCAGCTTCCATAGTGTACTTTGCAACACAACTTTGTTTCTTACTTAACCAAGAAACTGTTGTTCCACCAAACAAGAACACATGACCATTAGTAGATTTTCTATCATCTACATCTCCTGCAAAATCTGCGTTAGTGTATCCTTTTATGTCTAAATCACACAAACCAAAACATAATTTCAAATTTTTAGTGCCTTTTAAATATATGAATATTCTTTTAACTGCTTGCCAATGTTCCTTACCTGGATTGGATTGAAACCGACTTACCAATCCGACTGCGTGACAGATGTCAGGTCTTGTGCTTGTCATAGCATACATTAGGCTGCCTACTGCCTGGGCATACGGGACATTTCTCATTTCCTCAATGTCAAACTTAGTTTGAGGACTCATACTTTTACTAAGACTTTGTCCCTTGCAAGCAGGCGTGCTTAAAAAATTACAGTTATCCATATTAAATCTTTTGAGCACCTTGTCTAGAAATTTCTCTTGATCTAGATATAATAATTTTGAATTTCTATCTCTTGAAATTCTAATTCCTAGAACATAGGTTGCAAGACCCATGTCTTTCATTTCAAATCTAGATGCAAAGAAAGTTTTGGTTTTTATAATCATATCTGGACAATTTCCTGCTAACAATATGTCATCCACGTATAAAGATAATATTGCTAACTTGTCATCATTTTTTCAGATATAAACACATGATCTAATGGACTCACAATATAGCCCATTTCTAAAATGGTTTGGTGGAATTTCAAGTACCATTGTCTTGAAGATTGTTTAAGGCCATATAAAGATTTCTTCAACTTGTAGACTTTATTCTCATTGCCTTGGTTCTGGAAACCATTAGGTTGTATCATATAAATTTCCTCTTTTAATTCTCCATTGAGAAAGCTGTTTTAATATCTAATTGATGCAATTCCAAATCCATCCTGGCGACTACCGCCATTAGAATTCTTATTGAGGCAAATTTTGCAACAGGAGAATATGTATCTACGAAGTCTATTCCAAGTTGTTGAGTGAAACCCTTGGCTACTAACCTGGCCTTGTATTTCTCCAAACTTCCATCTACTTTGAATTTCTTTCTAAGAACCCATTTGCAACCAATGGCTTTTCTTCCATTTAGGAGATCAGTTAATTCCCAAACATCATTTTTCTTGATCGAGTCAAGTTATTCATTCATTGCCTCAAGCCATTATGTAGTATCATTGCTACTCATTGCTTCTTTATAACTAGTAGGATCATCTACTAAGTTATTAAGTTCTTCAACTTGAAAAACATAATGATCTTTCAAAGACGTAGATGGACGTCTTGCTCTCTTACTCCCACTTATCTCAGGATTCGAAGCAGGTAAAACAACGTCATGTAGTTTGCGTTTGCTCCCACTATTAGATGGTTCAGGAAGAATATGTGGACTGTGTGATAAAGAAGGAAGAGAAGAATCCTGAGATACTTCAGAAAGCAATTCAATTTGTTCAATAGGAGTAACAAGATCAGTGGATTCAAGAAAAATAGCATCTCTACTTTCTATTAATCTACGTTCGGGATGGTAAAAATGATAACCACTCACATTTCGACATAACCAACAAACTTGCATTCCCAAGTTTTGTTTCCCAATTTATCCCTTAAAGGTTTGGGAATAAGTACATGTGCCTTACATCCCCAAACTTTGAGATTTTGAACATTAGGTTTAGTTCCATGCCAGCATTCGTAAGGAGTTAGAGGTTTGGCTTTTGTTTCGACTCTATTTAAGATGTACGTGGCGGTGTACAAGGCTTCCCCCCTAAAAATGAATAGGAAGATCAGCATGAGCCATCATAGACCTTGTCATTTCCATGAGAGTACGATTTTGTCTTTCTGCGACCCCATTTTGTTGTGGTGTGTATGGTATTGTAAACAAATGTTTTATGCCATTGTCCTTGCAAAAAGAATCCATAGCTTCATATTCGCCACCTCTATCATTATTCAAGTGTTTAATGGACCGACCAAGTTGCTTTTCTACCTCTAATTTATATTCCTTAAACTTGTCAATTGCTTATGATTTGTGTTTAAGAAGGTAGATATGTCCATATCTTGAATAATCATCAGTGAAAGTAATAAAGTATTCCATGCCTCGATGAGTTTTTGTTCTTAAAGGGCCACAAATGTCCGAATGAATTATTTCAAGTAATTCCGATGATTTCCAATGTTTAAAAAATAGCTTGCTAGTCATTTTACCTTTGATACATGGTTCACATATATCAAAATCATCGAAACATACTTTAGGCAATAAGCCACTTTTAAACATTCGAGACATTTTATTTTTATTAATGTGACCTAACCTTAAATGCCACAAATAAGAACTATTACTAGTAGAAACATGCAAATAATCAGAAATACATACTTTATTATCAATAGAAAGAGAGTACATGTCATTCACTCTTACATCTTTCACTAATACACTTCCTTTCTTAATCAATACTATGCTAAACCTAAAAGTAATCTCCAAACCTTTTTAAGTTAACACCGAAACTGAAATTAAATTTCGCCTAATGTTGGGTACATAAAGCACATCATGAAGCACAATAGAAGTTCCATTAATAGAGAATTGACAGTTGCCGATGCCCAAAACATCACTATAGGAGTTGTTGCCCATGTAGATTCTGTGTTCACCAACCTTCTTTTCAGTAAACTCCATGAATATGTCTTTATTTTGCACAATATGCCTAGTTGCAGCAGAATCAATCCACCATGAATTTGATAAAGGTTCAAGCACCATTGCTTCAGAAACTGTCATGGCAACAGGGTTATGATCCTTTTTCTGCTTCTTCTTAGGACAATTGGTTTTGATATGACCTTTTCGACCGCACTTGTAACATGGGCCTATCTGATGCTTATGATGTTATTTTTGCCATTCTTGCGGTTTCTTCCATCCTTTCTGAAATCCCTTCTTTTATTTTTCCTTGAAAGAAGTCGTCTTTTTCTTGTTGAATGGTGTGTGAGTATTATTCTGTGGTTGTGGTGAAGATTGTGCCATCAACAAGTTAGAAGATAATCCTTCTTTACGCCTGCGCTTCATTCTTTCTTCTTCCAAAACTAAGAATACGGGCAATGTTACCATTGAAATCTCTCGTCCGCTATGAGTTAGAGATGTGATAACATGATCCCAAGACAATGGAAGCCTATTAAGTATGGTAGTTACTTGCATCTTGTCTGACAAAGAGTGACCAGCGTTGGATAATTCTTTAGCAATTAATTCCATTTGATTAACATGATCACCAACACTATCATTATCACTCATACAAGTGTTATTATATTTGTCCAAGAGCAATTGAATTTGAGTATCTAATCGAACTCCATACTTACTTTCTAGTGCTTCCATTAGTTGTCTTGTTGTTTCATGTTCTTCAAAAAGTAGAACAATGTTATCTTTCATATTATGTAACATAGTTGTCTTTGCCATTGCATCATCTTCTATCCATTTATTTTGGAACCAATTAGAATCATCATCTGGTTTAGAAGTGGATAAAGTATGCAATGTCTTCTCATGTGTAAAAAGATAAGAAATGTGGCATTTCCATGCTCGGAAATTATTTCCATTAAGCATCTCGATTCTTGAAGAATCCATGGTATTTTTAATAGCCATATTAAAAACAAAATGTGTTACTATGAAAATAATAATTAATATATACATATATATATATATATATATAATTGAGGATCCAAGGTTATTATGTTATTTATTATTATATTAACAAAATAAAATAAAAATAACAATAATAATAAAATGTATTGTATTATGTTGGATTGGGCCTTTAATTTATTTCTTTTGATCTAGCCCAAAAACAAACATAATAGAGCTTTTATATTTCAAACTCAACAACAACAACAGTATTACACTACAAGAATTCGCACTTTTGCTGACTAAAAATTTGGTCGGCAAAAGTCCACTTTTAGTTGGCAAAAGTTATCTGCGACTAATTTTTTTGGTTGCCACTTTGGTCGCCAATTGAGGGTCGCAGAAAGTAATTAGCGACTAAATTTTTGGTCGCTAAATATATAATTACTGCGACTAATCCATTTAGTAGCTAAAACACTTTAGTCGCGAAAAGTCATATTTTCTCGACCAAACATGTTAGTCGCCAATTCGCACATTCAACGACCAAATAGTTTGGTCGGCAATTGTCGCCCATTTCCACGACCAACTAATTTGGTCGCCAATTGTCACATTCCGCGACCAAAAAAATTGGTCGGCAATACATTCCACGACCAAAAAGATTGGTCGGCAATATTCACTACAAGAAAATCGCATTTTTGGCGACTAAAAATTTGGTTGGGAAAAGTCAATTTTTAGTCGGCAAAAGCTATTTGCGACCAATTTTTTTGGTCGCCACCTTGGTCGCCAATTGAGGGTCGGCAAAAGTAATTAGCGACTAAAACTTTTGTTAGTCGGGAAAAAGTTAAATTTGCCGACTAAATTTTTGATCGCTAAATATATCATTATTGCGACTAATCCATTTAGTCGCTAACACACATTAGTTGCGAAAAGTGACATATTCCCGACCAAACATGTTAGTCGCCAATCGCCAATTATCACATTCCATAACCAAAAGGTTTGGTCGCCAATTATCACATTCCACGACTAAAAAGTTTGGTCGCCAATTGTGGCATTCCGCGACCAAAAATTTTGGTCGCCAAAAGGAATGTTCGCGCCAACATGCAATAAAATAAACCTATAATTCATAATAAAATATCCAATCTATTCAATACAATCTGTAATTTACAATAATCAATCAAACCAACAATTCACCTGAATCATAAACATTCAACAAACTATATAAATCATCAAACTCTGAACCTATTGAATTAAAGTCAGCAACTATTATAAGTTTTCATCCACAAGTAATTCCAAACTACATATTCGTTCAATTAAAAATCCGCTTGTAATCTATATAATCATCCAATTCACATTCACTTAGCATTAAAATTTAAAACATATTCCTTAAGTGAAGAGTAGAACTCCCTTCACAGAGCATCAATAGCTTTCATTGATTGAGCAGAAAGAAAATTCTTCCAACAGTATTCATATCCAGCTACGTCTCTTTCAACTTCTTTCCAAGCCTCATAAGCCTGGACAAGAGCAAGGTTTATCATTGTAATCACGTGAAAATTGTGCTTTTGCTGCTTCTGCTAGCTGCAAAGAGAAAGACACACAAATCAATTAGTGAAACAGATAAGATAAGATACTCAATTTTCTAGCAAAAGCTATCTATTAGTGAAACCACAACTAAAATACCCAGTTAACAACTATAGACATAAAATTATAATAGCATAAAAAATCAAGAAAAATCATGATGGATCCAAATATTAAAGTTATAATAGCATTGGGCTGCTAAGGGGGCAGGAAAAGGAAACAAAATTACACTGTGGCACACTGTCAATGAAGATTTTAAAGTAGAAAAACATGAATCATCCATCATAATTTTGTAGCTATTGGCATGAACACAATGAATGATGAGAATCCACCACCCACTTTATTTTTACCTAAATTATATATATATATATATATATTAACTTGCTGTGCTGAGTAGGGAAAAAAATTTACAATGATGATATGACATGATTATGGATGCATGATATATTTCTCAGTAATTAAATTTTTATAAGTATAATAACAAATCTCACTGCATGTAAATGTGACAGGTACACATTATATCAAAATAGAGCATAAGCCAGAGCTAGCCACTACAACCCCAGCTGCAGCAAGACCAAGCCAAGTCAACACTGCAAGGCTGCAGTACCAGTCGCAGCCAGAGCAGCTAAAGTCAGAACAGAAAGGGCTGTAGCTTCAGTCATGCTCACGTGTTATAAAGAGAACTAGCATAACTGTTTCAAGTAGTTAGGCTGTCAGAATTAAATCGTGGCTAGATTAGTTTGTTATGATTAAATTAAATATAAAAGCACTGAATCTTTGTAATCAATTCATCAATCATGGTTTTTGCTGGGTTAAAGGAATTGAGCCTAACAAGTGTAAGGATAATATAGCTTTGAGTACAATAAGAAAGAAAGTTTTTATGTAAAAGAAAAACTCTGTAAAGATTGAATCCTCAAGAGATATCTCAATTTTGACACCTTCTTTGGCTCCTACAGCTTGATGAATCCCCTCAGACCATCTCCTTTTCTCTTCAACTCTCCCTGTCAACTACAGAAATGTCTTGTTGTGCTAATGTGAGTATTCTGCTCAACTCTCCCCTAAGACCATTTATGTACTCGGTTCAACCGTTTCATAATTGAAGTCTTTCAGAGTATCCAAACTACAGGTGCTAAGTGTCCTAATATAACGCATCAAAACCTATGCAAACAATAAGTTCATAAAATTAACGAACAGTAGCAAACACCAATAGCCTAACAGTGTGATAGACAATGTAACTAATCAAAAAGTAAATGGCAGTACTACAAGAAATCAAATAGTAGCAAGTTCATCTAAATATTTCTTGTCTAGTAAATGGTAGTAGTTAAAATTGAATATGCATTTCAAAAAGTTATTAAAGTTTAAGATACACTCGAGATATTCCAAGGGACAATTCATCTAAATAGAATTACTTGTAGTACTGAAGGTAATCTACGTTTGAGCAGATGCTGAAGACGTTGTCAACCTAACTATTAGCAGTTATTCAACCTAACTATTAGCAGTTATGAGGGAGAGTTACTTGGGGGACCTTAGCAAACATTAGCAGACGTAGTTATGCTGAAGGTAATCTACCATCAGTGATGAGGGAGAGTTAGGTTGTGGGGTGGCTGAGATAGATGGGGTTGCAAGGGAGCAGAGGGAGAGAGAGTGTGTGAGAAGATGGAGTGTGACTCCTTTTAGAAAAATGTGATTCAATTAAGGAATACTGGTGCTTGGATATAGGTAATTATCTACGTTTAAGGGTATGATAGATATTTTAGTATAAACGTGATGGCCACTATTTTCCATCCATGAGATTAACAAACTATACGTGTTAAAGTGTTAAATGAATTTAAATTTTGAGGTATGTACAGTGTGATCATGCCAAGACTATGAAGCTATCTATATTTCTTATTACTTGAGGGAGGTCTACATAATTTACCCTATTATTTATCTCTTATTAGTTAAGAAGTACGGACACGGATATGTGACACAACACAGACATACGGACACACAAATTTTTAAAAGATGCAGGGCACGACATGTTGGGGACATGTGCAAAACATATAATTTTATATATTTATTATATATCATATTTTTAAATATTTAATATTTATTTTATATCAAATATTTAATTTTATCAAATTTATTAACTTTAAGTATGCTATTTTAATAAAATAAATTAAAATTTTAATTTTTTTTTGAACTTTACCAACTTTACCAATCTGATCCATATCAGAGAGAGGAGGAGCATGTATTATACATTTCTAAAAGCAGACACAAAATAAACCATGAAATAATGGTTCACTGCTCAGTGAATAAGAAAGATAATCATTATTTATGTCCAACCAAGTTGATTTTGTGCTATTAAGGGGAAAAAGAAGAAAAAATCAATCCTGTAGTTCCCCACACCTTCCCACTCCCTAAGTTTGTCGGTTATAATATTACTAACATGCAAAGAACCCAATTACAAAATTTAGCCAACAAATGATGTTCCGTGTTACACTAAAATGTTCTTATACAATTCAACAGATCCTCTGCAGATGCAATATTTCCTTTTTCTCAGTCTAAAACTAGCAAAATTTCTGGGAAAAACAATTATTTATTAGAAAAATGATTTGGAAATGATCCGGACCCCCAGTGGGATGTGATTGGCCTTTTTTTTTTTTTTCCTTCTCCAATCACCAACCCCCACGTGTGTGTAGGGGTGGTGGGGAGAGGGGGTATCAATCACTTCCATATTTAATACATAAATGTCCACTGTGTTTGAATGTTTCAGAAAAAAATCCAAAAAATCAAATCTAAAAATTTAATAACCAAATTTTGAACAGAAAATCAACTAGAAGTAGGTCGAGAGAGAATCCACACAACACTGATTACCTGTTTACCATCAGGGCTCCAACTAACAGCGTAAATGCTGCCTTTATGACCATCCTCTGAGGACAGCTCTCCAATTTTCTCTCCAGTTTTCGCATCATATAGTATACCCTTCTTATCAGAGCTTACTGTAATGAACTTGCTACCATCTGTACAAAACCGTACACAACTGACAAAATTTGAATGATCCCTACATATCAATAACATCACCTTTTTGTAAAGCATAAACTTTTGAAATACATATTCACAATTTTAATTATTTCCATTTACTAGACAAGAAATATACTATATGATGAAAAGGGCAACAACTAGAAGTTCATCTAAATATTCCAAGCAGAAATCTAAACAAGAAATATACTTATTTAAGATACACTCTCATACAATTATAAGTTCTCTGTCCCACAAATAGTGTACTGCATTCTCAGAAACTGAATTTAGCTTTGGAGTAGATAATGAGAGACCCCTAATTGAAGTTTCCTTCAAAAAGGACAGTTCTGGTAGGGACCTATAATTTCAGAAAAGCAGCGTTCAGGTGGATATGCACCAAATCAATTATGTGATGCAATACTGAAAATGAAAATTCTACAGGACTAGTTCCATTATTTGCTTTGATCATTGAATTAGGGAGGACACTTGTTCTAAATTTCCTTATTTTTCTCATTGAATATTGGGAACAATCTTGCACAAGGCTGAATGACTGCAAGACTGATTCAACTTGAGATTAAAACAGTTATTCTTATCTATTTAGGGCTATACAGAGTCCTTCATTTATGTCTGCTATAGGTGCATTTGGATGAAAAATGCCTAATGAATTAACAAATTCTCCTAACCCCATTGCATTTCACATCAAACAAATCAAATATCTGCATAAACAAAATCGAATCAACATATATATATATATTTTTGTGGATCAATAAGCACACAATCACATGAAATCAATTCTTAGAAGCCAAATCGTCTATATAACTTGTAACTTGTAAGGGTATATATAAAGTATAGTATTAAAAAAAAAGAAACCATTTTTTACTTTTCAAATTCTTAACCAGGGAGATAAAGTGGTTGATGCATCACATGATAAGACCACAGCACCAAAAGACATGTTAAGGCAGGATGAGAAAAAGTCACAGGGAACCATGTCATTACTAGGCTTTATAGTCATTACTAGGGTACATGTCATTACTAGGCCAAGTGCTTAAAGTCAATAGGGTTTACAGGCCTATTTTTTACTGCTGATGGTCTAAACATAAAGCTTGTCAATATTTCATGTCAATGGTTACACATAAATTACAGTAGCTGTAGGCCTACAATGCATGAAGTTAACATGTCATACTACTGAATATGCTTCAGAAGCCTTACTGACATAGCAGTTGTCAAATAGAGATCTAAAACTTTAACCATTCAAGGCAGTTTAATGTACTATTTGCATTACCAAAATATACCAGAAAGAGGATAGTTAATATACCAAACACTGTCTGGATCATCATCTGAATCACACAGTGGAGGTCACGTTCCTGCCTCACGACTTAAGTAGCAGCTGTTGTTCAAGGGCTTCTGCCAAATTGTAATATACCCCTCTTTCACAAGATTCCAACAAAGGCAGCTTGTAAGATTAATCATCTCTAAAGATGAAGGAAGACAAACGATCAGTAAACTGAACTTCTTGTCTGATGTGCTGTATAGCGATCCCGGCTTTCCCTTTCGTGTTTAACTGTAATCCGGATTCGGTTTCGTAAGGGTGCTGTTGTCTTATCCTCTTTCTATCCCTTACTCTTTGTATTTGAGTTATAGGATGTGTTGGGCAGATTTGTTACAGGTTGGTTGATATTAGAAACCAAAACTAGTTGCCCAGATTTTGACCTGTCCGCTCAAGCGGGGGTTTTGGCGCTCGAGCGGGAGTTTCACCCATCCAGTATTTCCTGTGCAGTGTTCGACGCTCGAGCGTGGAATTGGCCGCTCGAGCGTGGAATTGGCCGCTCGAGCGGGATTGTGTGAGTACCGCTCGAGCGAGGAGTTGGAAGCTCGAGCAGGAGACCTGTCCGCTAAAGTTCTGGAAGTGTGTATCCGCCGCTCGAGCAGGATTGTTGACGCTCGAGCGGGAGTCTATGAGTGACGCTCGAGCGGGGAGTTTGACGCTCGAGCGGGGCGACTTTTATATAAATCCGAGATCCGACTTTTGGATCACTTTTTCAAGATCTTTTCTCTCTCTTACTTTTCCAAAAAGCCATTTTCAGAGCTTCTCACTCTAAAACCGGCCCTTCTCTCTTAGATTTGATCTAGTAGGAGTTGCTTTCTCACTTTTGGTCTTTACAAAAGTTGTGTTGATCGTCGAGGGCTATCTTTTAATCTAAAAATTTCGGGATTTGGAGCATTTCCGTTTCTTCATCTCCTTCGTTGCGTCCCATCATTCAAGGTAGGGATAACCTACTCCATCTTATGAACTTTGTCTTTGAATTTTAGCATTTTGATATGTTGGGGATTGTTAGGTAATTTTGAGAAAGTTTGGGCCTTGTGAAATTTTATAAAAGTTGGGGTTTAGATATATAAACCTATATGCATGTTAGGCATAGAGAAATGAGATTAATGTTGGGACATTGATGGAAATGGAACCTTAGGGTTGTTTTGTGAATTATGGTAATTTGCCCTAATTGGTTTAATTAATTAATGCATTTAATTAATTGAAGAAAACGAGGAATTGAATTGAGAATGTATGGACTAAAAGAGTGTAGTCAAATCTTTTATTACTCATCTAGTTGAAATGTTGGTATATTATCCACTTGTGCATTTTATTTCCTGCTTAGAAATAATTGCTTTGGGCACGGTGGAGGGTAGTGTTGATTGTTGTAGACAATGCATGATGATTAGGCAAACTAAAACTAATCAATTGGATGTGTTATAGAGTATGACGGTTGATAGAATACATTAATTTTATGTATTGATTGATTGCATATGTGATTCTGTGTTTATATGCATTACTTGTGTATGGGAGGAGATGGGGGATGTACTCCACGGTTTAGGGAAAGATGGGGTGTACCTCTAAACCGATTAATGGTTTAGGGGAAGATGGGGGATGTACCTCTAAACCGGTTATTGGAAATGTTGATACAGCTCATATGCTTATCTATTGAAGTGTTGATACAGCTTATATGCTTATCTATTGGAATGTTGATACAGCTCATATGCTTATCTGTTGAAAGTATTGATTATAGCTCATATGCTTATCTGTCGTAGTAGTGATATAGTCATATGCTTATCTATTTGAAAAGTTGTTTGATTGATATAGCACTAAAATGTATATCATCATTGTTTGCGAAATATGGAAGTAGTTTATGTGTTATTGATACAACACCAAAATGTGTATCCACCTTGATTTTCGAAAGTGTTCTGTGATGAACTATAATCCTCATCAAATGTTTTGGCCAGAGTACTGAGCCTTGTTTTCAAACTCAAAGTTGAATAAGAAAAGAAAAGTGAATTGTAACATAGACTTGGCTGTCATGGAAGTTTTATAAGATGTAAATGGAAGTGTAAGTTTTGACCATCTATTAGTTGCTAATCTTTTAGGCATTGTTCATAGTCGGTTTAGTATATTTCTACTGGGCTGTGGCTCACCCTTTATGGGAACATCATTTTCAGGTACAGGTAGCATACCACCTCTGAGGACATAGCTTGGGAGGCTAGAGGCAGACATACCTTTGTCGCCTTATTCTTTCTTGATTGTACTTCATATAGATTTGAGCCTAGAACTTAATGTGTATTTAAGCTAGCACTCTCTTTTGTAACCAAGTGTTAACTTGGAAAGCTGTAAGCCCGTAAGGCATTTACTTCTGTTGTAACCATGTAATACTTTTGTAATGAAATACTCTGATGAATAGATGAATGTGGACTTTTATGTATCAATGCATGTCTCTATATGGATGGGTTTAATGTTGTTATTTTGAGGGCGTTACATGCTGCACATGTTACTCCTATTTAGACCACCAATAAAATGCAAAGGAAACACTTCATTTGGGTGCACTGGAAGATTGACCTTCATTAAACAAATTATGGGGCACCCAGATGAACTAACATATTACATGCTTTAGGACCTTTCCCTGCCATTTTATCTAAGTGCCATAACCAGTTTGCAAATTTTTTGTTCTCCAAGCTGGGGTAGTTACCAAATTCAGATTCCTTAATTTTTTCTAAGTTATAAACAATTGCAGAAGTCACTCTGTAAGCAATTGGGATTCAACAGGGGGATCAAATGCAAACTAAGGTGCACAAATTTTCATATAAGGGTATAACAGAAAGCTGTGCAAACATTCGAAACTCAAACTCAAAAATGTTTATCGACTCACTAAAATGAAAATAACTGTTCATCTTATTTTATAAACAAATTCTGATTAGTCATACCTTCCCACTGCTCTTCAAGGGCTAATTCATGCTTATAAACAGGCTGTGCTGCCCAAGTAAAGTATCCTCCTGCACGTAGCATCCCGTTGACCTCAAGCAGCAAAATTCCATCTTTGCGACAATGAAAGAAACAAACAGAGGCATGATAAGAATATGTCCCACAAATGAACATCAACAATTTTCCCATATAATATCTACTACTCTTTCCCCAGATAACAGATTTCCACAATGATAATGATATGCCACATGGAAAATAGTGAGGATAGACGACATGGAACAACTAGATTATAAATTATAAAGCATAAACAAGAATGATTACACATTGGCCTCATAAACTTACAGATATGAATCATATGGTAAATAAAAATGCTTAATTGCCTTTTAAACTACTTTATCTCTTATCAATTGGGAAGTGTGAAATGAGGAATTAGGCTACAACATAATACATATACACACATACATATACTAAGTGATTGTCGAGGCAAAGCTCTTCACATGTCAAAACAAAACCTGGTGGAACTTTCATTACAGTCAACAACTAACAAATACACGGAATCAGAGTGTCGACAATAAATGAAAAATTGTCATAAACTACATTTCTTAGCATAAAAACCTATTCGATGGTTATAATTTTTTCAACTAAAAGTTTGAAGGTATGGAAATCCCACGGTGATCAATGATCCACCTCAGGGAAGAACTGATGGAACATAGAGAATTGGGATCTCATATCAGACATTCACTTGCCAGTTTGAGACTGACAAAGTCATCAATTTTTATGTAGGTGGTGGCTCCATTACCCATATCAACAATACAAGAAGTTAATGAGAAACATATTTGGCATGAAAATTTTATTTAACCTTTGAGAGAAATTCTGCAAGGAAGCAATAGGAGGTGCAACACTTCCAACATATACTCTGATGCCTAATTAGTTGTTCACTAAATCATTTTCTACCCAACAAAGATAATAAATTAAATTATGAGAGAGAATAGCATACCATCACGAGTCCAATTAATTCTACATCTTGAACAATGTATCAAGTCAAAAGCTTTATAGGGTTTAAGATCTGTTCGGATTATAAAACTACATCATTGTTGTTCCAAGGATACACAGTCACATAGAGATATAGAGGAACCATTTCAACCCAGTTGATAGAGGAACCGACTGGAATGAGAGAGTCAAAAGAAGCGTACCATCTCGCCGCCGAACTAGTCTCGCTGCTGCTGAACTAGTCTCGCCGCTGACTGAAACCCTTCCCCTTCAACCCCAGTCTCTCTTCAAACCCTCTATCTTCTCTCTCTCAGATTAAGGTTTGCTCACTGTTTTGAAACATTGTGAAATTAAGGGCTCTACAAACCTAAAAGGAAATGAAAAAAAATGGGGGAAAAGGCAGACGAAAAAAAAAGGGGGAAATTAAGTTTGGGCGGGCGGAAAAAGAGAAGGGGGGAATAGTTTTATTTTTATTTTAATTAATTTTTTTTATTTGATAGAAGTAGGGGTAATATTTTAATGAAAAATATTTTTCATTAAAATAAAGTTAATTTTTTATGGTCGATGAAAATTATTTTTTGTGACCCATTTTTTTTGGGGGGGGGAAATAGTTTTATTTTTATTTTAATTAATTTTTTTTTATTTGATAGAAGTAGGGGTAATATTTTAATGAAAAATATTTTTCGTTAAAATAAATTTAATTTTTTAAGGCCGATGAAAAATATTTATTGTGACCCTTTTTTTTTTGTTACTAAAAATCAAGAGCTAATTTTTTGTGGTAGAGAAGATGGAGCGGCAGTAGTGGTGAAGGTGGTGGATAAGAGGTGAGGTGGTGGTGGTGGTGATGGCGAAGGAGATTAGTGGAGAAATTGTGGTCATGGTAGAGGGGACGAAGTAGCGGTGGTGGAGGAAAGGTAATAGTAATAGTAGTAGTAGTAGTAGCAGTGGTGGTAGTGGAGTGGTAGCGATGGTGGTAGTAATGGTAGTCGTAGAGATGGAGTGGCAACAGTGGTAATAATGGTGGTAGTGGAATGACATTTGCAGCAGTGGTGAAGGTGGTAGAGAAGATGGGTGGTGAGAGAGAGATGAGTGAGAGACAGATAGAGAAGAGAGATAGAGAGATAGAGTGATGAACAAAAGAGAGAGAGAGAGAGAGAGAGAGAGAGACAAAATGGTCGCTAAAAGTGCATTTTCTTGTAGTGGAGAGCTCGATAAATAGAGAAGAGTGGAGAGAGAGAATGAGCAAGATGAACACAATGGAGGAGAGAGACAAACAGACATAGAGAGAGAAAGAAAGAGAGAAGAGTGATGAGTGAGAGACAGACAGACAGACACAGAGAGAGAAAGAGAGAGAGAAGAGTGATGAGCGAGAGAGTGACAGAGAGAGAAAGATGTATATATATATATAGAGAGAGAGAGACAGACAGACAGGCAGAAAAAGAGAGGGAAACAAGAGATGAGCGAGAGATAAACACACAGAGAGAGAGAGAAAGAGAGCAAAAAGAGATAATCGAGAGAAAGAGAGAGAGAAGAAAGATGAGCGAGAGAGACAGAGACAAAGATAGAGAGATGAGCAAGAGAGATAGAGATAGAGAAAGAAGAGAGATAGAGAGAAGAGAGATGAGCAAGAGACAAATAGAGAAAGAGACAGAGACAGAGACAAAGACAGATAGACAGACAGAAAAGAGTGATGAGTAAGAGAGAGAAAGAGAAGAGAGAGAGAGAGAGACAAAGAGAGAAAGAGATAGAGAGTGAGAGACAAAAAAAAATTAAACATGAACTCAAATTGGGCAGTATGTGCTCCCACAAAAAAAAAAAATTGAGTTTTATTGCCGACTAAATGTGTTTTAGTCACCAAAAATGTATATTTGCCGACCAAATGAGGTAGTTACCAAAGATTAAAAATAAAATTATACTAGATATTTGGCGACTAAATTTCTTTTAGTCGGCAAAAGTTGGTATATGACGACTGAAATTTATTTAGTTGCCGAAAATAAAGTTTTGCCGACCAAACTTTTAGTTGCCAAAAATAAAAGCAAATTTTTGTTTTCCATTTAGCGACTAAATAAATTTAGTAGCCAAAAGTAACTATACAACGACTAAAATATTTATTAGTCGCTGAAAATAAATTTTTGGCGACTAAACTTCTGGTCACCAAAGATAAAAAGTAAATTTTTATTTTTCAATCAGTGACTAAATTATTTTAGTTGCCAAAACTATCCACACAGCGACTAAAATATTTTTTAGTTGCTGAAATTAAATCTTTGCCGACCAAAATTTTGGTCGCCAAAGATAAAAAGTAAATTTTTATTTTTCATTCAGCAACTAAATAATTTTAGTTGCCAAAACTATCTATACAGCGACTAAAATATATTTTAGTCGTTGAACTTTAATTTTTGCCGACCAAACTTTTGCTCGCCAAAGATAAAAAGTAAATTTTTATTTTTGATTCCGCGACTATATTATTTTAGTTGGCAAAACTATCTATACAACGACTAAAATAATTTTTAGTCGCTAAAATTAAATTTTTGCCGACCAAACTTTTGGTCGCCAAAGATAAAAAGTAAATTTTTATTTTTGATTCCACGACTATATTATTTTAGTTGGCAAAACTATTTATACAGCGACTAAAATATTTTTTAGTCGCTAAAATTAAATTATTGCCGACCAAACTTTTGGTCGCCAAAGATAAAAAGGGAATTTTGATTTTTCATTTAGCCACTAAATTATTTTAGTCGCCAAAACTATCTATACAACCACTAAAATATCTTTTAGTTGCTGAAATTAAATTTTTGCCGACCAAAATTTTGGTCGCCAAAGGTAAAAAGTAAATTTTTATTTTTCTTTCAGCGACTAAATTATTTTAGTTGCCAAAACTATATATACAGCAACCAAAATATTTTTTAGTCGTTGAAATTAAATTTTTGGCGACCAAACTTTTGGTCGCCAAAAGATAAAAAATAAATTTTCATTTTTCATTCAGCGACTAGATTATTTTAGTTGCCAAAACTATCTATACAGCGACTAAAATATCTTTTAGTCGCTGAAATTAAATTGTTGCCGACCAAAATTTTGGTCGCCAAAGATAAAAAATAAATTTTTATTTTTCATTCAGCGACTAAATTATTTTAGTTGCCAAAACTATCTATACAGCGACTAAAATATCTTTTAGTCGCTGAAATTAAATTTTTGCTGACCAAACCTTTGGTCACCAAAGATAAAAAATAAATTTTTATTTTTCATTCAGCGACTAAATTTTTGCCGACCAAACTTTTGGTCGCCAAAGATAGACAATAATTTTTTATTTTTCATTCAGCAACTAAATTTTTGCCTACCAAACTTTTGGTCACCAAAGATAAACAATAATTTTTTATTTTTCATTCAGCAACTAAATTATTTTAGTTGCCAAAACTATCTATACAGCGACTAAAATATTTTTTAGTCGCTAAAATTACATTTTTGCTGACCAAAATTTTGGTCGCCAAAGATAAAAAGTAAATTTTTATTTTTCTTTCAACGACTAAATTATTTTAGTTGCCAAAACTATCTATACAGCGACAAAAATATTTTTTTAGTTGGCAATTGTGGAAAATTTAGCGACTAAATTTTTTTTAGTCGCCAATTGTGAGATTTTTAGCGACTAAATTTTCTTTAGTCGCCAAAAATTAATATACCCCGACTAAAAAAATTTAGTAGCTAAATATTGTACTTTTACCAACTAACATAATTTTTGGTCGCCAATTCCACAACTTTTGGCAACCAAAATATTTTTAGTCTGCAAAAGTGGTCGCCAAAACTGTATTTTCTTGTAGTGTTATTACGGTTGCCTTCTCCTCCGGCAACAGGTTGAATGACCAAAGAAAAATAACAGGTTTTGTAGGAACAAAATTTCAATAGTTTTTCATAAGAAAAGTTACTGTCCAAATGTCATTATATTTGGAAAAACATTTGGGTTTATAATAAATTGAAGTTACCAAACCAAATGCTTGCGGTGCTCTGAATTTCCGGCAAAAAGAATTTATGAAAATTTTCTTTTTTCCAATCTAAAATTCAACACTTGCGTTTACAGTTAAACCTGCTCTAATACCACTGTAACATTAACTTAACAATGGCTAAATGATCGGAATTCCCGTGAGGGTATTTATCACGCAAGATAGAATCAATAATCCGGAAGCAAAGGTTATTCAATGGTTTTGAAAATTTTGTATATTTAAAGAACATATCCTGCCATTGCTTTTATAAACACAATGGCAACCATTGCCAAAGGTCACAATTTTTGGATTCAAAAACTAACAGTCACAATTGTCATGAAACAATGTGTCCATTGTGTTCAAATTCAAATACTTAACTTACCAGATTGTTCCATTCCCTTGTGGGAAGGAATACACCAGCCATTGGATTTAATCAAGTATGCAGAGACACACCACATTATGGTCTGGTCACACTTAATCTAACACCAACATAGACACAAAAGGAGGAAAAAGAGGAGGGCATGAAGCGTCATGTTGTTTTCATTATTGGTCAGTCAAAAATCCATTACATGCTAGCTATTCTAAAATAGCAAGACATTCTCAGTCAAGTTTCAAGTTTCCATTCGGTTACTTTGTTATGACTTTACATCAGTTAAAGAAAATTCATTAAGGTGGTGTTTGGGAACCTAGGTTCCAAATTTTTTTCTCATTTTTTTCACTAAAAGACAAACTTTTTACAAAACCAAAAAAAACACATCTGAACAAAATATCACATCCAACTCCATAATCATTTCACTTTTTCTCTCACAAACATCACATCCAACCACATAAAAACCCAACTATCTTCCCAAACACCAAAATTTTTTTATCCAATAAAAACCTACAACTAAAAAAACCTACATAAAAACTCACTTCCCAAACACCATCTAAAAAAACCAATCTAAAAATAATTGCTTTTCTTCCAATCTAAAAATAAATAAATAAGTTAATTCTATACCCTCTCCCTTCCTCGCTTTCTGGCATCTGATATCAATTCTTTTTTTCAGGTCCTCAAGATGGCGGTTACAGATGCTGGCCACTAGGTCGTGGGCTCGTTTCTCTCGGAAAGTTTACAACAGCAAGTATGGTTTGTTTCTTTATGTACATAATATGATACTTGACCTCATTTGCCTCTAATAATGAAAATACAATTTACAGAGCTGAGGCTGTGGATTTCAACAATTTGATATGAGACTAAATTTGTTGACCATAATGTTTAATTTATAATTTTGGAGCAAAATGCGTCCTTTCTATTTTTCTCATTTATGAAATCTCTAAAAAAAATTTGATGATTAATTACTGTTCTTTCTGATTACTTATTTTTGTTTTTGAATATTTATTTTCATAATATTTTCCTTTTTCAACTTGTTTATATTGCATATTTCTCAGGCATGATTCCTGAGCTTTGATTTTTCTCAAGTAAAGTTTTGTTATATATATATTTTTTTCCTGTGCTCATTATGCTCAATCCTGCAGTTTAGCAAGCGTCTAGCATCGGTCATGAGGATTCTTAACGTTATGCAGGCATCTACGCTTGACTATCAGTTCATCATTCTGCCCCTTCTGAAGTCATTCATGCGGGTTTGACTTTTTAATGCAGCATAATTCTCTGCAATGTTATCCAACTTTCTTGGATCTAAATTTAAATTAGTCAGAATTTTTCTATTCCAGGAACTATTTGAGGTTTTGGTCGACAAAGACACAAAGAAGGCAGATGCTGCAAGAGAAGCACTTTTATCAGAGATTGAACTGGAAGCCAAGAAGAAGAAAAATTTTGAGTCCAAGAAAAAGAATAAAAATCAGAGAAAGAATAAGGATCCAAAGGTTTTTAACTTTAGACTCTGGTTGTGTTTTTTACCATCAAGGTTGCTGTCATGTATGTCTTACATGTTTTGTACAAGTTCAGTCTAATACTCATAGCATTGCAGGTTACTCAAGGTGATGACCTGTATGTACCGCAAGAGGAAACTGAAGAACCAGTGTAAGTCCTCAATTGTCTCTCAGCCGCAGATAGCACTGTAGAAAATTATTAAAAGATCACAGCTTTTTTCTAATATCGGCTCTAATGCACATTTTAAGTTTAATCTGGGTTTTCGATCTTTGTCTTCCTCCAGTCACTTTCCTGTTAGCTACAATGGTGATTATCCTAGTTCTGTGATTGTTGTTGCTGCAAGAGCTGATGAATTGGGGCTACAGGAAGAGGAACTTAAGCACCACATTTTATGTCCTAGTCATGTTTGCATGCATTTGTATGTTTTGCCATGTTAAGTTGCTGTAACAACCCATATTCATGTCATGGTCATGTTCATGTTCATTTACATAACTTTGTCTTGTTAAGTTTGCATTCATGAATCTTGTCTTGTTTGCTTAAGTGTTGTGTGCATGCTTTGTCCCTTCCTTGGTGTCTCAAGCCTAAGTTATGTCAAGCCTAGATTATTCCAAGTCGAGGTCATCATCAGTCTAGAATTATCTTGGAACCCCTTTGTTTGACCTCCACCTTCCCCTTGACATATTGGCCGAGATGTCATTATCTAGGCCGAGGTGTTCATCACCAAGGCCGAGATGTGTATCATCTAGGCCGAGATGTTACCTTTGCACCCAAGTGATCTTGTCTTGGAGTGGTATGACCTAGACCGAGGTGTGGCACATCTAGGCCAAGGTGTGGCAGAGCTTAGTCAAGTGTTGTCCTCCCTAGCCAAGGTCATTGTCACCTTAGTTGCCGAAGCTATGTCCTTAGCCGATGTCATCATTTGCCGGAGTGCCTTACCGAGTAGCTTGTTAGATACACTTTGTCATAGTCTTGTCTTGTCAATCTATCACCTTTTTTAGGAGAGCCAATCAGCCGTTGCCACGTGTCTAGCTGAGTGTTAAGTCAGCCGACAGAGAGAGAAACCTACCATTTGTTATATCCTTGTTTTTGAAGAAGAGAGAGAAGCTCTAGGAGAGGAAGAAGAGTTCTTGAGGGAGAGTAGATTTCCAAGCTTGATCCCTAGAGATCGAACCGTTAGATCCGTGTTTTAAGGATAGATTCTTGATCTGCTCTTGTCATTCTTTATGTTTATGTTATTGCATTGCATGATTGAATATGATTTGTAAGCCATGCATTGCTTTGAAGTTCGGTTTTAGAAAGAGAAAATAGCATTCATGTGTTCTTCAAGAAAAGTCATGTTTTGATCCGAAAGCTCATGCCTAGATTCACGTTTTTGTGTTTGTTTTCACATGATTTTCAAGCATGGGTACCCAGGTCCATGTTTTCGAACTCATAGCATGAAATCCCAGATTTTTGTAGTAAAAAAGTTATGATTTCAGCATTCATGTTCTTCATGTTCATGTTCTTCACGGGTGGAAACCCAGATCTCCAGACCTCACTTTCCGAGGTGTAGTCGCCGAGATCACTCTTACCTAGACCTCACACTTAGGCCAAGCATCGTATCTCACCTTGGCCTACCTTGCATGATCACTTACACCTTTACTCCGTCTTGTGCGCACCTCGGCATGCAGCCGCATGCCGAAACCTAGGTAGCCACACCTCAGCCAGGAGGTGTGGGACCTCAGCAAAGACCTGGTTGGTACCCAGCATGTCTTCCTGACGTGTAAAACAGTGTTTTGACTTCCAGCATGTTTTCCCGAGATCATTTGCATGCATGTAAGACTTGTTTTGAGAAGTGCATTCAGTATGCTTTGCCATGTGTTTGTAGGACTTGGACCTTTGCCTTGATCTCGACGTCCCAAGAACTATGTGAGTGGTATTTTTAATAAAGCTATGTTATACGTTTTGATAAAGGCTTTCCTTTGCTTTATTTTGAAAGTGTTTGTTAAGCATGAATGATATCCCTATTTTATGTATCAAGTATAAGCTTTGTTTTGGATGACATTCTTGGAACCGTCCTTTCGTGTTAGGGGACATTAAGCCTAAGTAACACCGTCCTTTCGTGTTAGGGGACGTTAAGCCTATGTAACATAGTCCTTCCGTGCTAGGGGACTTTAAGCCTAGGTAGCACCGTCCTTTCATGCTAGGGGACGTTAAGCCTAAGTAGCACCCTTGTTAAGATATCGGCCACCGACGTACTATGAACGGGTGTGCGCGATGCCGAGGTTATGCTTTTGTTTTGCCCGGAATGTCATCACCCCATGTTTTAAGATTTGACGTATGTTAAGTATGTAAGCAAGTTTTGAAAGACCAAGGTTCGATTGATATTTTGTTTCAAGTCAAGTTAAGCTACGTTATGTATGGTTTTGACAAGGATATACTATGTATTGTTTTGAAAAGATCTCGGGTATCATTCATTTAAAACCTTTACTACTTGTACCATTCACTGAGTATCCAAGCTCACCCTCCCTATGTATGTATGTAGGTAACAAGCAAGAAGTCGGCTACGCCGAGATGTGTGTTTTGCAAGATGTTTTGGATGCATGTTATGTCGGCAATGTTTATGTCGGCCATCCTAAATATTATGTTTCTTGACTTGTATTTCATGTATTTTGTTTATGTCGGCTTGAGAGGCCTTTTTCCAAGATGTAATATGTATTCTTGTACTTCATTTTATTTGTATTCAAGTTATAAAGCTATGTAAAGATGTATGCCATTTCATTTGACTTATGCACTGCTCTTATGGACCACTTGTATTTTAAATTATTGCTTCCGCACTTGTGAGTCCCATATATTTATACTCTAATTGTGTGTGAATTTTGCAAGTTGGCCTTCGGTAATCTCGGATTACTGGCCATCACGGCACCAAACTACTAGGGGCGGTTTGGGGTCGTGACACAGCCCTATTTGGGATGATCTAAATAAGTGTACTTTTTGACTTTTATGAAATATGAGTTGGGTATGGATTGCGTTTGAAGTGATGTGGTGGAGAGGTGATGTGATTTAAATAAGATCATGTGACTTAAATAGAATAGTGACTTTTTGACTTTTTAACTTTTTTAGGTTATGACAAATAAGGCCTAAAACTCTACCAAACATTTTTATTCCAAAAAAATAATTGTATGCGGAAATGTAATTTTTATTATGCTATTGTTTTTTTTAATATTATTTTTAAGGTACAACGGAAATAATTATGCTATTGTTAAAATTTAACACGATGAACACAAAAAATACACTTTATTAATGTATTATCTATCATGCCATTATGATAAAAATATTGTGCCAAATTTAACACAACGAATGTTTGATCATTAACTTATTTAAGTTTATTGTACTATCCTAAAAATGTCATGTCATGCAATTTTTCCAATAAATTAATATAAAATTAAAAATTAAAAAAAAACACTAACCATCATATTAAATAATTTTAATTCAAAATGCAACTTTAAAGCATTCTATCAAAAAATATAAACCATTAAATTTGATTTAATTTATTTAATGGAAGTTCAAATTAAGCAAATGAATTAAAGTTTTTTAATATATAAATTATTATATTAAAAAATCATAAATAAAAGTTTAATTTAAAAACACTACAAACCCATACAGTTAGTTACACAATTATATCTTGTGGTAAAAATTATGAAAATACAAAAAATCTCATAATTTTAACAGAATTACATTAGGTGTCCTTAAAGTTTTAATTCATAAGACACTTAGCTCCGTTTTCGTTTATAATTTGTTAGCCATATAGATAATTAAATATATATATATATACTGTATTTTCATACTGCCCGTATTAGTTTTGGTCTATTTAACCTTACTAAAAGAGAACTTAGTACAATTATTATAAAACTATGGAGCTGCTTGTATTTTCTCGAAATTTCATAGGAGGGCCAGTGTAATTTACCCTTACAATATGACATTTTGACATTATATTTCGTTAAAATATGACATTAACACAATTGCAATGGTGCAATCTACTAAAAATGATCTCAATAGTTACTCAATTGAGAATTGATATTCACACTCATTATAATCTTTTCGATTCTTTTTTTGTCATCATGTCTCTCAAAAGACAAATGTGAGGCTAAAAAAACAATACGAATATCATATCTTTCATGATTTCATGAAAGTTTTTATATAGTTTAATCTCATTTTTCTAAGATACAAATCAATAAAGCAGATTGTTATACATTTTCAGCTGACGTCACCAAAATGCTTCATCTCTGTGGTAGCCGAATAAAAGCAGACGCAGATAGGCAGTGTATATTTTTCTAATCGGTGTATAGTATGCACTCAGCCCCGCCCCTGACGTTTCAGATGCCGAATAAGTTGAGCAGGGTGGCGATTAAAAGTTGGAATACGGCATAATGGGGGGGGGCCGAGTTCATAAGTACATGACAGATCAAGAGCGGGCCCTGCCTAGAAGACCAGGAGCGTATATAAATAGAAGAACGACGAACAAGAAAAGGTATGTGAGAATTAGTATGCTAAACATAAGACACATGCAATCTAGAGAGCATACACTGACTTATCTGTCGAAGTGCTAATTCTTGCACCCCCGACCAGTGTATTCATTCTTTTTCAGGCTACCAGCTGAGGATCTCGAGCATCCAATTGGATCCAAAAAGTATTTCCAAACCACCTTCCCCACAATTGGCGCCGTCTGTGGGAATACTCAACTACATCCATGGCGGGCGCAACGGAAGATCCTCCGATAATCGCTGACGAAACTACACCGAGAGATGATCTCACCCCAACAAACATGCTGGGACCAGAGACTATCGCTGCAAGACGCGCCTTGAACTTCGACTCACACTCGACTTCAGCACATGAGACAATGCAAGTGATCATGGAACAAGCAAAGCAAAATGAACAGAGGTTGGAGAACATGATCGCTGAGAACGAACGTCTCCGTTAGGATTTGGCCTTGGAAGTGGCAAAGTCCAAACAAGCTGTACGCCAAGATTCGGAACGACCTCTGAGGGCAGGTGGTCGACGACCTCGAGCCCGACATCAAGACACTGACAGTGACTCTGACTCATTATCCCCGGAGCTCGAGAAGAATGGAAGATCCGAAACTACCAGTTTCTCTGAAGAGAGTCCACGTATAAGGCATAAGCGAAGACGAAATGGTTCAGATGAAGAGGACCAGCACGATCCCTTTGTGCGACGGATCGCAAAGGAAGTACTACCCAAGAAGTTCAAAGCCCCATCGTTCACCTTGTACGACGGGAAATCGGATCCCACAGATCATATCCGTCACTATAAGCAAGCCATGACGTTGCATACAGACGACGAAGCTCTCATGTGTAGAATATTTTCGAGCAGTTTGGGACCGTTGGCAGTCAGATGGTATTATAAGTTGGAGCCGGCATCGATTAAGAGTTTCCATCAATTACAAAAATCCTTTAGGGCAAGATTCATCACCAACGAGGTCCAACCGAAACAAGCCGACTCTCTCTGGGCAATGCAGATCCAGCCAGCAGAAACACTAAGAGCGTACTCGGCGCGCTATTGGGAGTGCTTTAATCTTGTTGATTACACTTACAATGACTCCATGGCCATCACCGCCTTTAAAATGGGTTCGAATCCTGACAGCGCTCTCCGTAGTTCCTTGACTAGAAGGCCTCCAAAACAGTCTGGTCATTGATGAAGAAAGTTGAGAAATACTGCAAAATGGAAGACGACGCCTTACGGGTTAAAGCTGGAAACAAGGCCGACAAGATAGCCCATCCTGAAATTGTTCAGTCGGTAAACTCTGTGTCACCTCGGAGTCCCGAACCACGGCATCGGGCTAAACAAGAAAAGAGACGGGATTCACGCCGATTAAACGACCAATGTTCCCACCGAGCTAGGGAACAACTTCAAGTAGATAGCAAGCGCACAAGGCACGAGGACAAGAAGTATACGGAGTTGTCAGAGCCGATCAGCGTGGTTATGTCTAAAGTCCAACAACTTCCATTCTTCAAATGGCCACCCAAAATGGTGGGACCTCCTTACACGAGACAACAAGATAGGCGGTGCAAGTATCACAAAGACCACGGCCATGATACTGAGAGTTGTTATGCATTGAAGGATCACTTGGAGGAATTGGTACAAGATGGTCGGCTACAACAGTAGGTCCGAAAAGGCAATTCAACCAAAGCAATAGCCTTAAGGCAGGATTCACCTCCACTTGGCGTGATCCACAAGATATACAGCCTACCAGCGGCATCCGCGATGCATACGATTCAGTCGCGTCCCGACCCTCAAAATTAACTCACCCCGGCTAAACAGCCCCATGAAGCTGCGAGCATTGCCTTCGATGATTTAGATTTGGCCGGAGTGACACTTCCTCACATCGATCCTTTGGTAATCGAGTTACGTGTAAACCGATTCACCATTGAGCGCGTACTCATTGATCCTGGGAGCACATCGGAAGTTATGTATTACAAGACATTCACCAAACTCGGCTTCACCAAAGCGAATCTTTCTCCAACTCCTTATCCATTATTCGGCTTCAACGTCAATCCAGAGTACTCGTTAGGCAAAATCACGCTACCAGTTCGAGCAGGCTAGCGAACAGTGGATGTGGAATTCTTGGTCGTCAAGCTGCCCTCGCCGTATAACCTCATCATGGGCCAAACTTGGCTACACACCATGCAGGTCGTGCCAAGCACCTATCATCAATTGCTCCGTTTCCCTACTAAACAAGGCATTGAACAAATCCATGGTTCACAGAAATCGGCACAAACATGTTATCTCCTTGCAGCGAAGACACCAAGAGCGCTGGAAGTGAATTCTATTGAGGTGCCAGATCGAGAGAGCCTTGACAATGTTAGACGGCTTCTAAGCGAAAAGGCCATGGAAACCCTGGATCGAGTTGAAATTGTCGGGAATCCTGACAGGTTCTTCATGATCGGTGCCTCCCTAAACGAAGTCGACAGATAGCAGCTAATTACCTTCTTACTTGGCAACCTTGACGTATTTTCCTAGTTGCCGTATGAGATACCGGGGGTAGATCCATCTATCTCTCAGCATCATTTGAATGTCGACCCCAAATGTAAGCCGATTATCCAGAAAAGCCGGCGGTCAGCCGCAGAGAACACTGCCGCCGTTGTTGAAGAGGTTGACCGGTTGCTTGACGCCGGAGCTATCAAGGAAGTGACCTACACTACATGGCTCTCAAATACTGTGGTTGTGAAGAAGAAAATTAGCACTTGGCGTGTCTGCGTTGATTTCACTGACCTAAACAAAGCTTGCCACAAGGATTGTTTTCCCCTACCTAGAATTCACTAACTTGTAGATGCTATGGCATGTCACCAGCGTATGAGCTTCCTTGATGCCTACAGAGGCTACCATCAAATTGCCATGCATCTAGAGGACTAAGACAAAACTGCATTCCTCACCCCAAGAGGAACCTATTACTATAAGGTTATGCCTTTTGGGCTGAAGAATGTAGGGGCAACTTACCAAAGACTAGTCACTACCATGTTCAAGGAGCAACTCGGCCACACAATGGAAGTTTACATTGACGATATGATGGTCAAGCCCAAAGAAGAGCAAACTCATCTAGCCGATTTGGAGGAGACATTCGGCATTCTACGCAAATATAGAATGAAGCTGAACGCTTCCAAATGTGCGTTTGGGATCGACTCTGGAAAATTCTTGGGTTACATTGTCAACCACCGAGGAATCGAAGCCAATCCGAGGAAAATCACCGCAATCCTGGAACTCGGCTCCCCTCAATCGGTCAAGGAGGTTCAGAAGTTTATGGGGATGGCCGCCGCACTCAACAGGTTCATCAGTCGTTCCACGAACCGCTGCCGACAATTCTTTCAAACACTACGGTAGGGTAAAGCTTTTGAATGGACCTTCAAGTGCGAAACTGCTTTTAACGGTCTGAAGGCTTATCTCCGATCTGTTCCACTTTTGACAACACCAACGGTAGGCGACCCGCTCATTTTATATCTGGCCATCTCTGATCGGGCTGTTAGTGCCGTATTGTTGAAGGAAGAGCTTAGAGAGCAGCGACCAGTGTATTATGTGAGCAAAGCAATGGTTGACACCGAAACCCATTACCTTCCACTAGAAAAACTCATCCTAGCCCTAGTTATGGTGGCAAGAAAATTGATGCATTACTTCCAAGGGCATAGCATCGGGGTACTAACAGATTACCCCTCCGATTAGTACTACGTAGTGTAGAAGCATCAGGGCGCGTTTCAAAATGGGCCCTCGAACTCGGCCAGTACGATATTCAATTTCTGCCTAGAACCTCAATCAAGGGGCAAGTGCTTGCTGATTTTGTAGCCGAATTCACGGGGGGTGTTGCCGACGTCAAGACCGACCAAACTCAACCCAAGCCGAATTGAAGAATTTATGTGGGGGACATTTGGCAGCTGTATTGTGACAGGTCATCCAATCAACGGGGCAGTGGAGCCGGAGTAGTAATCATGGGTCCCGACGGAGCAATAATTGAGCAGGCTGTCAAACTCGGCTTCAAAGCATCAAATAACAAGGCCGAATACGAAGCCTTTCTAACAGGTTTGTGGAATGCACATCTTCTAGGTGCTCGGCGTTTGCTTGTATTTTGCGATTCAAAACTGGTGATCAATCAACTAATGGGGGAGTACGCGGCCAAAAATGACCGTATGGTGGGTTACATGAAAACGGCTAACTCCTTGCTGGCAAAATTTGACCATCATGAACTGAATCAAATAACACGTGATCATAACACACATGCAAATGCCCTGGCTTGCTTAGCCTCCTCCATTAACTCAGAGATTAAACGGACCATCGAAGTAGGTTTCATCCCGGAGCCGAGCATTGGCCCTTCAGAGGAAGTCAAAGTCAATGTCATAGAGTCAGGACCGAGTTGGATGGACCCCATTGCTGCATTCCTGTCTTCCGAACAGCTCCCAGCAGACAAGAAAGAAGCGCACAAGCTGCGAAACAAAGCCCTGCGATACTACTTGGATCCGCAAGGAAAGCTTTATAAAAAATCCCTTTCTGGTCCATACCTGGGATGCATGCATCTGCACAAAGTCGAAGAGCTTCTGACTGAAATACATGAAGGCAGTTGTGGCGCACATTCTGGCGGGCGCTCTTTGGCTCAACGAGCTGTGACACAAGGATATTACTGGCCGACAATGAGAGCCGATGCCGAGTGTTATGTGAAAAAGTGCGAACAGTGCCAGAAGTTCTCTCCTCTGATTCACCTGCCTGCTGAAGAGTTAAGCTCCATAACCAACCCTTGGTCGTTCGCTCAATGGGGACTTGACATCGTCGGACCGCTGCCTCGTGCCCCGGGTAACAAGCGATTTCTGATCGTTGCGACTGATTATTTCGCGAAATGGGTAGAAGCGGAGGCACTAACGCACATCCGAGATACCGACATAAAGAGTTTTGTATGGAGAAATATCATAACGCAGTTCGACATTCCCAGAGCACTCATATTACCTAGTTTGATTGCAGAGTCTACCAGGAGCTTTGTAGCAAGTATGGTATTCGGCCTTACTTCTCCACCCCAACTTATCCACAGAGTAATGGCTAAGCTGAAGCCTCCAATAAAACCATTTTAGACGGCATCAAAAAGAGACGGGAGAAGGCGAAAGGCCGATGGGTTGAAGAACTGCCGAGTGTATTATGGTCTCATTGCACAACACAGAGACGGTCCACCAGGGAAACGCCGTTCGCTTTGTGGTTCGAAACATAGCAATTATCCCCTTGGAGATTGGCCTCCCAATCTTGAAATCAGAAGTTTTTGATATGGGCAAAAACTATATGATGATGGATTTGGATTTGACACTGATTGAAGAACGAAAAGACCATGCCCTTGCCGCTATGGCACGGTACCAGCAGCAGCTTGCTAAGTCGTATAACCAACGCGTTCAGCTACGCCGCTATGTACCAAGCGAATTGGTCCTAACGAAAGTGCTTCCAGCTGCCAGGAAGTCGGCTGACGAAAAGTTAGGTCCTAACTGTGACGGCCCCTACCAGATCGACTAAGTTGCGGGAACGGGGGCTTATCAGCTCAAAGACCTATTTGGCAGGAGTCTGCCACGCCCTTGGAACTCCTTGCATTTGCGTAAATTCTATCATTAGACCCGACCTGTGGGGCATGATATTTATTTTGAATGATCCGCCATATACAAATTTCACTTTTGCAAGGCAAAGTTTTGTTCTCTCTCATTGTGTAACTCAGTTCAAGTCCTCCAATTAAAGCCTCCGAATTCGGAGCCCCATCCGTGTAGGTCATGTTTGGACCGAATAACACTCCGGATTCAGAGCGCCCTTCGTGCATGTCACAATTGGCCAAGACAAAAATTCTCCGAATTCGGAGCCCCATCCGTGCAAGTTACGTTTGGGCCGAATAAGACTCCGGATTCGGAGCGCCCTTCGTGCATGTCGCGATTGGCCAAGACAAAAAGCCTCCGAATTCGGAGCCCTATCCGTGCAGGTCACGTTTGGGCCGAATAAGACCCCGGATTCAGAGCGCCCTTCGTGTATGCCGCGATTGGCTAAGACAAAAAGCCTCCGAATTCGAAGCCCCATCCGTGCAAGTCACGTTTGGGCCGAATACGCCTCCGAATTCAGAGCCTTATCTGTGCAGGTCACGTTTGGGCCGAGTAAGACTCCGGATTCGGAGTGCCCTTCGTGTATGTCACGATTGGCCAAGACAAAAAGCTTCCAAATTCAAAGCCCCGTCCGTGTAGGTCACGTTTGGGCCGAATAAGACTCCGGATTCGGAGCGCCCTTCGTGCATGTCGCGATTGGCCAAGACAAAAAGCCTCTGAATTCGGAGCCCCATCCGTGCAGGTCACGTTTGGGCCGAATAAGACTCCGGATTCGGAGCACCCTTCATGCATGTCGTGATTGGCCAAGACAAAAAGCCTCCGAATTCAGAGCCCCATCTGTGCAGGTCACGTTTGGGCCGAATAAGATTCCGGATTCGGAGCGCCCTTCATGCATGTCACGATTGGCCAAGATATAAAGACTCCGAATTCGGAGCCCCATCCGTGCAGGTCACGTTTGGGCCGAAAAAGCCTCCGAATTCGGAGCCACATCCGTGCAGGTCACGTTTGGGCTGAATAAGACTCCGAATTCGAAGCGCCGTTCATGCATGTCGCGATTGGCCAAGACAAAAAACCTCCGAATTCGGAGCCCCATCCGTGCAAGTCGCGTCTGGACCGAACAAGCCTCCAAATTCGAAGCCCCATCCGTGCAGGTCACGTTTGGGCCGAATAAGACTCCGGATTCGGAACGCCCTTCGTTCATGTCGCGATTGGCCAAGACAAAAAGCCTCCGAATTCGGAGCCTCGTCCGTGCAGGTCACGTTTGGGCCGAATAAGACTCCGAATTTGGAGCGCCCTTCATGCATATCGCGATTGGCCAAGACAAAAAACCTCCTAATTCGAAGCCCCGTCCGTGTAGGTCACGTTTGGGTCGAATAAGACTCCGAATTCGGAGCACCCTTCGTGGATATCTCGATTATCCAAGACAAGCCTCCGTATACGGAGCCTCGTCCGTGGTCTCGTTTGGGCCAAATAAAAACTCCGAATTTGAAGCTCCTCGCAAGTTGTTGCAACACACAGTGACAATTGAAACATTCAAGCATTCAGAAATGTTTCATTAAATTGATTTCAAGCATTCAAAACGAAGTGAGTTCTTAAATCGATTAATTCGCAGAAAGTGTATTATTACAAGTTGAAATACGCTAACATTTGAAACAAAGCGTCTTATTAATTTAGAAAATAAATACATAATTCGCACTCAATCTACATATGATCATTACAAGGTCTGCTTTTATTCGGCGGCTCCATCATCATCACTCTTCTCAACTTCGAAAGCGGAAAAGGGGAAATCATCTCGCTCGTACAGCGGCGACGCTGAATTCACACCTGCTGCCCAGAGAGCCTCAGCTTCCTGAAGTGCCTTGATCCAACCATATT